CCTCAAAATTTGGCATGTCAGTCTGTTGCCATGTAGTGGCAAGGGGGGTCACGTCGCCAGCATGACACTTGTATCCAAATCACATGGGGCCAATTTTCATGCTGGGCGAACCTGAGTCAATTGGCTGAATGGTGGCACAGGTGCGCTTTGTCCGCCAAGCATGCGATGCACATGCCGAAAATGTATGCTTTGCTTTCTGACAAGCAACGGTACAGAGAGGCAGGTGTATACGCATTCAAATGTTTATCAACTGCGGAACTGCATCTTTAAAACTGAAGTTCTGTGCAACACGATAAAGCTAGCTTCGCACACTCTTCAACTAAAGGCGTGAAAAATCATGATTGCAGTGACGCGCGCTGTCACTTCAGCATATCACAGAACGAATAAACACGCAAACCAGACTCAATCAAAGAGAAAAACACAGCAAGTGCAATCCTTGCCCGCAGCATCAATCACTCTAACTCAAACTGCTGCTGAGTCGCCATCATCGCCAGTCTTCCGTTAGCCAACTCGGCCGCAAGCTTGGACTTGCGGGCCTCAGGATCCTCGACCTTGCCCAGGAAGGTGGGGAAGCCAACACCGTAGTTGCCCGGCTCAGCGGACTCAGTGGAGTCCTTCATGGAGAACTGGCCCTCACGAGGGCCCCGGCCGTCAGTGGTGGAAGACGCCTGGAAGAACCCAGTGGTCTCAATCAGGCCGCAGAACGCGATGATCTGAGCTCCACCCAGCACTGGCACCCTCAGTGCACAGCCAGTTGACAAGCATGTCAACCATTCCCTCGTCACGGACAAATGTATTGAACCCTTGACCATCTTCCAGCTATCTTCCTTCTGGCTATGGGCACGGAACCAAAGGTCACTAAGGTTCAGGCTTGGACAGGGCTGCCAGGCCGTTCGGCACGTCAGCGAACTTCAAACCAAGAGAAGGGGACAGGAAGCCGGGAAACTTGAAGTACTCCGGGGTGATGTAGCCCATGCAGGCATACATGGCCTGTGCCAGCAACATGGCTTGAAGAAGATCGACTGATACCAAGCTTGACTAAACAACTAAACACACGTCACGGCGTGAAGCATGCTGCATGCTGCATGCTGCTTGCAACGCTTGGGCCCCTGCAATGCGGCCATGCTTGATCTCCACTGCCCTGCGGCGCTTGAAGGTTGCCGCATCCTTGTCCGCGCTCAGACCAAGCGGGTCCCAGAAGCCCACCGGATCCTGCACACCGAGCTCCTTGGCAGGGTCGAAGCCGGCGCTCGTGGACGAGTCGCCACCGAAGAAGTTGCGCGCAACCTTGGGCTCCCTTGCCCTCAAAGGCGAGGAAGTGTACAGGCTCCAGTCGCCCCAGGCCGAGCCAGTCAGTCCATCTTGGAAGAACATGCCGATGATTGCCTCAAAGCAAGCAATGCAATGCGCAATTTAGCAGTCTTTTGGTATCATTATTCGTGCATATCAGGTGTAGTGTAGGAGAATGGCTTAGCTACAAGAGCTCCAAAGAACCAAGCTCACACCTTGCACAGCACACCACAATTGCAACTCATGATTGCTTGGGCAACGTTTCGAGCGATAGCCGCACTGAATCAAGCTGCGGCTGAGTTGCCATCATCGCCAGCCTTCCGTTAGCCAACTCGGCCGCAAGCTTGGACTTGCGGGCCTCAGGGTCCTCGACCTTGCCCAGGAAGGTGGGGAAGCCAACACCGTAGTTGCCCGGCTCAGCGGACTCGGTGGAGTCCTTCATGGAGAACTGGCCCTCACGAGGGCCCCGGCCGTCAGTGGTGGAAGACGCCTGGAAGAACCCAGTGGTCTCAATCAGGCCGCAGAACGCGATGATCTGAGCTCCACCCAGCACTGGCACCCTCAGTGCACAGCCAGTTGACAAGCATGTCAACCATTCCCTCGTCAGAAATGTTAATCATCTTCAAGCCATCTTCCTTCTGGCTATGGGCGCAGCAACAAAGGTTACTAAGCTTCAGGCTTGGACAGGGCTGCCAGGCCGTTCGGCACGTCAGCGAACTTCAAACCAAGAGAAGGGGACAGGAAGCCCGGAAACTTGAAGTACTCCGGGGTGATGTAGCCCATGCAGGCATACATGGCCTCTGCCAGCAACATGGCTTGAATAAGCTTGACTGAAACCAAGCTTGACTACGCAACTGAGCACACGTCATGGCCTCATGCATGCTGCATGCTGCTTGCAACGCTTGGGCCCGTGCAATGCGGCCATGCTTGATCTCCACTGCCCTGCGGCGCTTGAAGGTTGCCGCATCCTTGTCCGCGCTCAGACCAAGCGGGTCCCAGAAGCCCACCGGATCCTGCACACCGAGCTCCTTGGCAGGGTCGAAGCCGGCGCTCGTGGACGAGTCGCCACCGAAGAAGTTGCGCGCAACCTTGGGCTCCCTTGCCCTCAAAGGCGAGGAAGTGTACAGGCTCCAGTCGCCCCAGGCCGAGCCAGTCAGTCCATCTTGGAAGAACATGCCGATGATTGCCTCAAAGCAAGCAATGCAATTTGTGCACATCAGGTGTAGTGTAGGAGAATTGCCTAGCTACAAGAGCTCCAAAGAACCGAGCTCACACCTTGCACAGCACACCACAATTGTAACTCATGATTGCTTGGGCAACGCTTCGAGCGATTGCCGCACTGAATCAAGCTGCGGCTGAGTTGCCATCATCGCCAGCCTTCCGTTAGCCAACTCGGCCGCAAGCTTGGACTTGCGGGCCTCAGGGTCCTCGACCTTGCCCAGGAAGGTGGGGAAGCCAACACCGTAGTTGCCCGGCTCAGCGGACTCGGTGGAGTCCTTCATGGAGAACTGGCCCTCACGAGGGCCCCGGCCGTCAGTGGTGGAAGACGCCTGGAAGAACCCAGTGGTCTCAATCAGGCCGCAGAACGCGATGATCTGAGCTCCACCCAGCACTGGCACCCTCAGTGCACAGCCAGTTGACAAGCATGGCAACCATTCCCTCGTCACGGACAAATGTATTGAACCCTTGATCATCTTCAAGCCATCTTCCTTCTGGCTATGGGCACGGAACCAAAGGTCACTAAGGTTCAGGCTTGGACAGGGCTGCCAGGCCGTTCGGCACGTCAGCGAACTTCAAACCAAGAGAAGGGGACAGGAAGCCGGGAAACTTGAAGTACTCCGGGGTGATGTAGCCCATGCAGGCATACATGGCCTGTGCCAGCAACATGGCTTGAAGAAGATCGACTGATACCAAGCTTGACTAAACAACTAAACACACGTCACGGCGTGAAGCATGCTGCATGCTGCATGCTGCTTGCAACGCTTGGGCCCCTGCAATGCGGCCATGCTTGATCTCCACTGCCCTGCGGCGCTTGAAGGTTGCCGCATCCTTGTCCGCGCTCAGACCAAGCGGGTCCCAGAAGCCCACCGGATCCTGCACACCGAGCTCCTTGGCAGGGTCGAAGCCGGCGCTCGTGGACGAGTCGCCACCGAAGAAGTTGCGCGCAACCTTGGGCTCCCTTGCCCTCAAAGGCGAGGAAGTGTACAGGCTCCAGTCGCCCCAGGCCGAGCCAGTCAGTCCATCTTGGAAGAACATGCCGATGATTGCCTCAAAGCAAGCAATGCAATTCGTGCACATCAGGTGTAGTGTAGGAGAATGGCTTAGCTACAAGAGCTCCAAAGAACCGAGCTCACACCTTGCACAGCACACCACAATTGCAACTCATGATTGCTTGGGCAACGCTTCGAGCGATTGCCGCACTGAATCAAGCTGCGGCTGAGTTGCCATCATCGCCAGCCTTCCGTTAGCCAACTCGGCCGCAAGCTTGGACTTGCGGGCCTCAGGGTCCTCGACCTTGCCCAGGAAGGTGGGGAAGCCAACACCGTAGTTGCCCGGCTCAGCGGACTCGGTGGAGTCCTTCATGGAGAACTGGCCCTCACGAGGGCCCCGGCCGTCAGTGGTGGAAGACGCCTGGAAGAACCCAGTGGTCTCAATCAGGCCGCAGAACGCGATGATCTGAGCTCCACCCAGCACTGGCACCCTCAGTGCACAGCCAGTTGACAAGCATGGCAACCATTCCCTCAACACGGATAAATTTTGATAAATTTATTGAACTGTTAATCATCTTAAAGCCATCTTCCTTCTGGCTATGGGCGCAGCAACAAAGGTTACTAAGCTTCAGGCTTGGACAGGGCTGCCAGGCCGTTCGGCACGTCAGCGAACTTCAAACCAAGAGAAGGGGACAGGAAGCCCGGAAACTTGAAGTACTCCGGGGTGATGTAGCCCATGCAGGCATACATGGCCTCTGCCAGCAACATGGCTTGAATAAGCTTGACTGAAACCAAGCGTGACTACGCAACTGAGCACACGTCATGCCCATGCAGCATGCAGCATGCAACGCTTGGGCCCCTGCAATGCGGCCATGCTTGATCTCCACTGCCCTGCGGCGCTTGAAGGTTGCCGCATCCTTGTCCGCGCTCAGACCAAGCGGGTCCCAGAAGCCCACCGGATCCTGCACACCGAGCTCCTTGGCAGGGTCGAAGCCGGCGCTCGTGGACGAGTCGCCACCGAAGAAGTTGCGCGCAACCTTGGGCTCCCTTGCCCTCAAAGGCGAGGAAGTGTACAGGCTCCAGTCGCCCCAGGCCGAGCCAGTCAGTCCATCTTGGAAGAACATGCCGATGATTGCCTCAAAGCAAGCAATGCAATTTGTGCACATCAGGTGTAGTGTAGGAGAACTGCTTAGCTACAAGAGCTCCAAAGAACCGAGCTCACTCCTTGCACAGCACACCACAATTGCAACTCATGATTGCTTGGGCAACGCTTCGAGCGATTGCCGCACTGAATCAAGCTGCGGCTGAGTTGCCATCATCGCCAGCCTTCCGTTAGCCAACTCGGCCGCAAGCTTGGACTTGCGGGCCTCAGGGTCCTCGACCTTGCCCAGGAAGGTGGGGAAGCCAACACCGTAGTTGCCCGGCTCAGCGGACTCGGTGGAGTCCTTCATGGAGAACTGGCCCTCACGAGGGCCCCGGCCGTCAGTGGTGGAAGACGCCTGGAAGAACCCAGTGGTCTCAATCAGGCCGCAGAACGCGATGATCTGAGCTCCACCCAGCACTGGCACCCTCAGTGCACAGCCAGTTGACAAGCATGTCAACCATTCCGTCTTCACGGATGAATGTATTAAACTGTTAACCATCGTCAAGCTATCTTCCTTCTGGCTATGGGCGCGGCAACAAAGGTTACTAAGCTTCAGGCTTGGACAGGGCTGCCAGGCCGTTCGGCACGTCAGCGAACTTCAAACCAAGAGAAGGGGACAGGAAGCCCGGAAACTTGAAGTACTCCGGGGTGATGTAGCCCATGCAGGCATACATGGCCTTAGCCCGGTTCGCCAATGCATGTGCTACAGCATGGGCTTTCCAGAGGATGCCCACGACATAGCGTACCAACAAGACACGCCTGTTGGACGAGGGCAAATAATCAGCGGGTTATATCTGAGGTCTGCCGTGGTTTGCCAAAGGCTAGCAAGAGAATCACGCATGTTGTGTGAAGCCCATCATGAACATCAAGGTCCAAGGCAATGCGAACCGCGTGATCCATACTTCAACGTAAGTCAGGCTTCAACTACAGCGGCCTAAGAGAGCTTTGCGGCTTCCAACAAACCCTTGCTACGCCCTTTCAATTGACGTTTCATTGCCACAGAAAATCTATGGATGTCTGAACATCCTTTCGAAGCTTTGCCAGCCCAAACAACAATCGAGCACCATGCCCAGCCCACGGTAGTTCAGCAGCCCTCCACCCGAGTTCTACGTCCTTGGTCCCGGTCAATCCGACCATGCTTGATCTCCACAGCACGACGGCGCTTGAAGGTAGCTTCATCCTGAAAGTCAACTGCTGCTCAGCTGGAAAAGGCATTGCTCAAGGCACAGAGCCAAGACCCCCGGCCCATGTTGTTTGCAATCACACTCTAGGTCACCAAGCCTGTCACTGTAGAACAGTCGCTACAGCGGGTCATTCCATGAGAACTGGCCGTTGCAGTTTGACGGGCAACTGATTGGAAGGCAAAACGAAAAACATAAAAGGTTTTCCTTGAATGGAATCATCATGCCGAACACCGCTTGGGCCCTGTGCATGTAAGCCGCCAAGCTCTGCACATAAGTCAGCGTCCACTTTGTTTCCAAAAGCATGGGCCGCAACCAGGTCAGCTGGCAGCGATCAGCATTGTCATGAATCTGGTCGCAATGCGCAAAAGCGCCTTCTCAGCATACAGGGTACTTAGTAAAGTGGTTAGTAAGCCTGGCTATAACCCTAGGAACCTACAAACATGGCAAGTAAATTCCAACCAGGCTGCCAAGAACCCTGCGTTCTGACCCCACCTTGTCGGCGCTCAGACCCAGCGGGTCCCAGAAGCCGATAGGATCCTGCGCCGGGAAACTGCCAGCTAATCCTGTTGTCGTCATTGTTGTTGTTGTCGTCGTCGTCGTTGTCGTTGTCGTTGTCGTTGTCGTTGTTGTCGTTGTCGTTGTCGTTGTCGTTGTCGTTGTCGTTGTAGTTGTCGTTGTCGTTGTCGTTGTCGTTGTCGTTGTCGTTGTCGTTGTCGTTGTTGTTGTCGTTGTTGTTGTTGTTGTTGTTGTTGTTGTTGTTGTTGTTGTTGTTGTTGTTGTTGTTGTTGTTGTTGTTGTTGTTGTTGTTGTCGTTGTCGTTGTCGTGGCTGTCGTGGTTGTCGTCGTTGTCGTCGTTGTCGTTGTCGTCGTCGTCGTCGTGGTCGTGGTCGCGGTCGTGGTCGTGGTCGTGGTCGTGGTCGTGGTCGTGGTCGTGGTCGTGGTCGTGGTCGTTGTCGTTGTCGTTGTCGTTGTCGTTGTCGTTGTCGTTGTCGTTGTCGTTGTTGTTGTTGTTGCTGCTGCTGTTGTTGTTGTTGTTGTTGTTGTTGCTGTTGTTGCTGTTGTCGTTGTCGTCGTCGTCGTCGCTGTTGTTGTTGTCATTGTCGTTGTCGTCGTGTTCGTCGTTGTCGTCGTTCTTGTTCTTGTTCTTGTTCTTGCTATTGTTCTTGTTCTTGTTCTTGTTCTTGCTATTGTTATTGATGTTGTTCGTGTTCTTGTTCTTGTTGTTGTTGGCGGTGGTGGTGGTGGTCGTGGCGGTTGTTGTTGTGGTTGTGGTGGTGGTTGTTGTCGCGGTTGTGGTTGTGGCTGCGGCGGTTGTTGTTGTTGGCGGTTGTGGCGGTGGTGGTTGTTGCGGTTGCGGTTGTTCTTGTTGCTGGTGTTGCTGTCGTTGTTGTCATTGTCGTCGTCGTTGTTCTTGTCGTTGTTTTCGTTGTTGCCGTTGTCGTGGTTGTCGTGGTTGCGGCAGTTGTCGTTGCTGGCGTTGTCGTTGTCATTGTCATTGTCGTTGCCGATGCCGCGATCGTGGTCGCGGTCGCGGTCGTGATTGCGGTTGTTGTTCTTGTTCTTGTTCTTGTTCTTGCTCTTGTTCTTGGTCTTCTTGTTCTTCTTCTTCTTGTTCTTCTTGTTCTTCTTGTTCTTCTTGTTCTTATTGTTCTTCTTGTTCTTCTTGTTCTTCTTGTTATTCTTGTTATTCTTGTTCTTCCTCTTGTTCTTCTTGTTCTTCTTGTTCTTCTTGTTCTTCTTGGTATTCTTGTTTTTCTTGTTTGTTCTTCCTGTCCTTCTTGTTCTTCTGGTTCTTCTTGCTCTTCTTGTTCTTCTGGTTCTTCTTGTTCTTCTTGGTATTCTTGTTACTCTTGTTCTTCTTGCTCTTCTTGTCTCCTTGTTGTTATTGTTGTTCTTGCTCTTGGTCTTGCTGTTGTTCTTGTTGTTGTTATTGTTGTTCTTCTTGTTAGCAAGAACACATGAGTGAGTAACGAGTTCCAGGGTGGCAACAAAATGCTAACAACTACAGAAACACATTCAGAAAAACGCCGTTCAAGCGAGTCATGGCGCAATCTCAAGACTGACCAGCACAGCGACTCGCGCAAGCTTTCCTGGACGCCAAGCTCATTGGCAGGGTCGAAGCCAGAAGGGGCGCTGCTCGCGCCGAAGAAGTGGCGGGTGGTCTGGGGCCGGGAATGCCATGAAGTCGACTCTGCCAGACATGGCGTTTCATTTGACGTACACTCGGAACTTTGCAGCATGCGACTACCCTCCACATAGATTTGCTGCTGGTCTTGCGAGCAGTCCATATTCGCCTCGGCCCCCCAGAGTTGAGAAGAGATTAGACCCCTCCAGAACCTCTTCGGAATCCTCCAACCAAAATCCCTGCTCCAGCTGCCTCCAGTCCGCCTGAAGCAAGCCTGGAAGGCCCAGGGCCGAGAAGCGTTCAGATCCCTTTAAGAAAGCGATCTCGCGCCCTCCAAAAAACCGGCAGATTCCGCCCCTCCAACTCCGGCTAAATCCCCCGCTCAAAACCAGTCATCTAGACAGTGGTCAAATCCCCTCAAAAAAGCGCAGAAACCGGCATTCAATCCCCCCAAAACACCGTAGAAAACAATCAAACTCCCCTCTAAAAAAAGGCCCCAGAGAAAAGTCAAATTCATTCGCTTGGCCCAAGCTCAGTGCCATTCTGTAGCGCTCTGCAGCTCTCGTTCTGGCTCTCGAAGCCTGGAAACACGCAGACATGCACCCACCCTCTACCTTGGAAAACAGCTCACGCAAACACAAGACTTCAAGGCAAACTAAAGCACGGTGTATACCTCAAAACCAGCCAAAAGCGGACTGGCCGAGGCGGGCAACGTGAAGCGTTTATAAGTAGCCTTGCTTTGCGCTACACCGTTCAGTTGCCCCAAGAAGCCGAGTGCAAGGAACATAACCTTCCCCTTCACGGGCAAGCGGCTGAAGGGCTTAACACTTATAGGGTTCCGCCGCTTGCTGCCTTGCTACGTTTTGCAATCTGGCTGATGTGATTGCAGGTACTCGAGAATTCAGGCCTCATGATTCTCAAGTATGAAAAGACTGACATGGGTCCTAACTTCTAGTACGCCTGTCGGGAATCTTTTCCTGGACCGGAATGCTGGCCCGGCCCCTTTGGGAAGGAACCGCGTGTCCCAAACACTCGTGCCCGGCAAACAACATCAAATGCAAGCCATTGGGAAAAGAACACCGCAAGCGGCTGAAGCGAGCCATCACCTCTCATGTTTGGCCTGTCTGGATAGTCGGCAGCTTGAATCCCCTCATTTGGGCATGGGTCAAAATTCAACCACCAAGAATCACTGGTTTTAGTCCATGTTTCCATTTACCAGGATTCAACCCATTTTGGGGTTACCCTATTTTCGGCTCACAACCATGTCTACAGCTCTGCTGGCCCCTCAAGTCAAGGCTCAAGGCAGGACGTTTCTTGCCAGTGAACACCAACTTCTGGCGGGGCTCCAGCGAAAATAGAGAAGAAGGGCCAAGAAAAAACAACTTGCGCATCGGAAGCTGATGTCATAGGCGTCAGAACGCAAACATGTGTTTGTAGAATGGTTGTTTTTTCATACGGAGCCTCCTGAAAGCGTGTCTGTTTCTCTGAAATAATAATAAAATAAATATCAAACAGCGGGCATGTCGAGAACACGCTTGGAACTCGGAACATGGTCGTGCCAAATCAAGGTGTGGGGAGGGAGCTTCTCATTACCACGAGCTTTGCAAAGCTGCGGAGACTTCAAGAGACCAAAACCTGCGTCACATGGCCATGGGTCAAAATCCAAATCGTACCCCCAGTGAACATCCCAATCCAACCACTAAAATAGGAAGCCTTAAATGGGTGGTAAATTCCCCTACCAACCAAAATGCTACGTACCAAAACGGTTTTGACAACCACAGCCACATCCCAGTCCCGCCTTGCCCTTTGCCTTGGAGACCTAGGCAAGGGCTGTTTGCTAAGCTCGCTTCGTTTTGGCTCAAGAGCCCCAGGTCGACTGCCCTCCGTCGCGGAGTGGAGACATTGGCTGGAGAATCGAGAGTCGGCTCCCAAGTGATCTGGGCCAGGAGATTCTATGATTCACTAGACCAAAATACGATTCGCGCATCGTGGCGTCTTCCGTTCTCGCAGTGATTCAAACTCCAGATTCCCCAAGAACGGAACGCAGGTGCCACACAGCAGACGCCGACTCGACTCCAAATCTTGGGGTGTCCGGCGGTGCGCGCGGCCTGGGCGGGGAAGGCAGAACACATTCACGACAAAGAGAATATACATCCTTGGTTTTCTTGGGTCAGGCCCATGTAGGCACCATGCCTGTTGACAACATCACCTTTGCATGCTGCGAAAGCCCAAAAGTCTGCAACTGAACCATAACAACTGAATTAACACTGCCATGCCCATCTGACGCTTGCGAAGGCGCGCATGATACATCTTATACGTACGAGCATGCTCGCTACTCAGGGCGCTTGGGCAATCCATCAATCAT